AAGTGAATTAAAAAAAAAAATTTTTTTTAAGTGTGGACTCTTGAAGTCAGTCTGACGCTGCCATTTACTAGCTGTGTGACCTTAGGCAAATTTCTCAGTCTCTCTGAAGCACAGTTGTTTCATCTATGGAATGGTCATGATACTATCTACACTGCAGACTGTCGTGAAGGTCAAATGAGGTCATATGAATGGCATGCCTGGCACATGATAGATAATCAACAGCTTTCTTTTCTACAACACTATCTTATTAATGCGTTCTATAATAGAACATAGCTGGTTTTTTCTGTTAGGTCATAGCATATTCTCTGTTGAGAGTTTCTCTTGAATCTATTTAGCAGGGTTACCTTCTGCTCTTTGGAGGAAGTGAAAGATAATTGTGCAGCTGAGTTCTATAAATAAAAGTACCGTTCTCACTAGTAGGAAAATAACACCTACCCTGCCTACCTCACAGGGCTGTTGTGAGGGTTCAATTGGTATTATGTGAAAGTTATTTCAAAATTGTAAAATGCTATATGACTATAAAGAATTATTAATGTATTTGTTCCAAGGTTATTAATAAAAATTAGAGAAAAAAAAAGTACAGTTAGAGAAAATGATATTTTTGGAGCTGGGTGTGGTGGCTCACACCTGAAATCCCGCTCTTTGGGAGGCTGAGGTGAGAAAATCACTTGAAGCTGAGTTTGAGACCAGCCCAGGCAACATAGTGAGACCCTGTTTCTACAAAACTTTTAAAAATTAGCCAGCATTGTGCCCTTGTAGTCCCAGCTACAGGGGAGGCTGAGGCAGAAGGATCGCTTGAGCCTGGGAGTTTGAGGTTACAGTGAGCTATAATTGTGCCACTGCACTCCAGCATGTTGACAGAGCAAGACCCTCCCTATCTCTGAATAAATAAATAAATTGAAAAGAAAATGATATTTTTGGATTATAAAAAACCTGCTGTAAATTTACAAAGATTGAGAATAAAAGCACTTCTTGGGCTGGGTGGGATGGCTCGTGCCTATAATCCCAGCACTTTGGGAAGCCGAGGTGGAAGGATCACTTGAGGGCAGGTAATACTGCATGTCTATAAAAAATAAACATTAGAACCTCTTCTCAACTTCACACTTAGAACTGGATCATTGACAAAATTATCTTCATTATTAACAATAAACAGATTGTGAATTCTAGGAAACGCAAGCTCGCACCCCAATTCCTCAAAGCAGAGAGATGCCCTCCACTCTCTGGCTTTCTCAGCACTGGGCTGAGAAACTCAGCTAACCCCACGTTGTGCAGGGTTAGCCACATACCCAGTGGCCCTTCCCAGTGGGCCGTGAGCTTCTTGACTTCTTGGGAAGTGGGGGTCATTCATCTTGGTTGCACAACCGGAAATGGAGTAAGGGTTCCACCCATATTTGTGGTCTGAGTGAGTGCACTCAATCTGTTTATCCTTTTCACGTTTACTTTCATTCTTCCAGACCCAGTGACTGCCCCAGTGCTGAACATTACAGTCATTCAAACAGAAACAGACCAACATATAACATTACTCTGCCTCTCGGTCAACGGCTCACTGCCCATCAATTACACTTTCTTTGAAAAACATGTTGCCATATCGCCAGTTATTTCCAAGTACAACAGGGAGCCTGCTGAATTTAACTTAACCAGGAAGAACCCTGGAGAAGAAGAAGAGTATAGGTGTGGAGCTAAAAACAGATTGCCTAACTATACAGCATACAGTCAACCTGTCACCATGCCTTCAACAGGTAAGAGCTACCTGAGTTCTTTCAAGCAGGTCTGAACTCGCTTCCAGAAACTGCAGGTACTCCTCTGCCCACCCATTCCCCACCTTGAGCCCAGGAGTTTGAGACCAGCCCAGGCAACTTGGTGGAATCCCTGTCTCTACAGAAAATAAAAAAAATTAGCTGAGCGTGGTGGTGCATGCCTGTGGTCTCAGCTACTTGGAGGATGAGGTAGGAGGACTGCTTGAGCCTGAGAGGTCGAGGCTGCAGTGAGCTGTGATCATCATGCCCTGCACTTCAGCCTGTGCAACAGGGCGAGACCCTGTCTCAAAGAAAAAATAAAAAGAAAAGGGCAGGGCAGAGGAGGGGGAGAAGGGGGAGGAAGGGGAGGGGTGGGGACGGAAGGGGAGGGCAGGGGAGCTAGGTTAGCAAAGGCAGAAGGTACACTTGGACATTGACCACTTCACCCAGCCACATCCTCAGAACAGAGCCCACGCCCTGGTGTTCAGGGAGGGAGCCTGCTGGAGTCGGGCACTTGGCTATGAGTCACAGCCCTTCCATTTACTAGCTGTGTGATCTTAGGAAAGTCATTTCACCTCCCTGAGCCTTACTCACCTCATCTTGATGCTGGCCAGGCGCAGCGGCTCATGCCTGTAATCCCAGTGCTTTTGGAGGCTGAGGAGTATGGATCACTCGAAGTCAAGAGTTCGAGACCATGCTGGTCAACATGGTGAAACCCCATCTTTACTAAAACTACAAAAATTAGCGGGGCATGGTGGCACGTGCCTGTAATCCCAGCTACCCGGGAGGCTGAACCAGGGAGTCAGAGGTTGCGGTAAGCCAAGATCGCACCACTGCACTCCAACCTGATTACAGAGTGAGAATCTGTCTCAAACAAAAGGAAGAGTGGTGCCACTGAGATAAATAAGGCAACACAGGCAAAGCGCCTAACACAGCATCTGGCCTGCAGCTAAAACACAACAACTAGCAGCTGTTTGGGTGACACCAAACCTGCCAGCAGGGCTCAGGGCTTTGCCCAGGAAACACCCCAGCTTTTCTGGTGCTGATGAGCCCAGCAATGTTATTGGTAATCGTCCTGTTAAATGCTGTGCTGCTTTCCTCTTCTTTGGATGCCCTCTGTGGAAGATGTGCTTGGTCATGACTTTTTACACTTGATTATTTAATTTTATTATTTATTTATTTTTTGAGATGAAGTTGCACTCTGTCACCCAAGCTAGAGTGCAATGGCACAGTCTCGGCTCACTGCAACCTCCACCTCCCAGGTAGAAGAAATTCTCATGCCTCAGCCCCCGAGTAGCTGGGATTACAGGTATACACCACCACGCTCAGCTACTTTTTTTGTTTTTAGTAGAGATGGGGTTTCACCATGTTGGCCAAACTGGTCTCAAACTCCTCGCCTGAGGTGATCTGCCCACCTCGGCCTCCCAAAGTGCTGGGATTACAGGCTTGAGCCACTGCGCCCAGCCTATTTTTATTTATTAACTTATTTATTTATTGAGACAGGCTCTGGCTCTGTCACTCAGGCTGGAGTGCAGTGGCACAATCATAGCTCACTGCAACCTCCATCTCCTGGGCTCAAGCAATCCTCCTGCATCAGCCTCCTGAGTAGCTGGGATCACAGGCACATGCCATCATGCCTGGCTACTTTTTATTTATTTGTTTATTTATTTATTTTGTAGAGACAGGCCTCACTATGTTGCCCAGGCTGGTCTCAAACTCCTGGCCTCAGGCGATCCTCCCGCCTTGATCTCCGAAAGTGCTGGGATTACAGGTGTGAGCCACCACGCCCGGCCAAGAACTTTATTGACTAATAAGTCCCATGAGTTGCAGCTGTTGTGACCGTTTGGGAACCTGGGTGCATAGTACATTGGTTAACTTGGGAGACATTGCCTTTTCTAGAACACTTACCTGCTTACTGTCATTTGAAAAGAAAGTGCTATGGTCACCAGTGAATGCTGTCTTCTTCCAGGCGGGGACAGCTGTCCTTTCTGTCTGAAGCTACTGCTTCTGGGCTTATTACTGCCGCTGCTGGTGATAATGGTGGTGATAATCCTAATTCTGGCTTTTTGGATACTACCCAAATACAAAGCAAGTAAGTTCTTTTAGCCGATTTACCACGATTTTCCCATGGGTTTGGGATACAGACAGCAGGGCAGAGGGTGAGGAGGAAGGGAAAAGGGGATCAGAAACAGAATGGGAGAAAATGAAAATAGGAGGAAAAGATGAGAAAAGGGAGCGGGAATGGAATGGACTTCCTGAACGGTTCATGCAGAGGGTAATTCTTCTTTCTTCAGGGAAAGCCTTTTCTGATTGAGAGCAAGCAGAGCTGGCTTCACAGGTGTGCAGCCTGTGCAGTCACACAGGGCCCTGTGCCAAGAAGAATTCCACATTTGGGTTTAAAAAAATTTTTTTGAGACAGTTTTGTTCTTGTTGCCCAAGCTGGAGTGCAGTGGTGCAATCTTGGCTCACTGCCACTTCTGTCTCCCAGGTTCAAGCGATTCTCCTGCCTCAGCCTCCCAAGAAGCTAGGATTACAGGTGCCCACCACCATGCCCAGCTAATTTTTTGTATTTTTAGTAGAGACAAGGTTTCACCATGTTGGCCGGGCTGATCTCGAACTCCTGGCCTCAGGTGATCTGCTGCCTCAGCTTCCCAAAGTGCTGGGATTACAGACGTGAGCCACCGCACCCAGCCTTCCTCATTTGGTTTAATGCTCTGCTGTTACCATCTTGAAATTATTTATTTATTTATTTTTTAAGAGACAGAGTTCCACTATATTACCCAAACTCCTAGGTTCAAGCGATCTTCCCATCTCAGCTTCCCAAAGTGCTGGTATTATAAGCATGAGCTGCTATGACTAGCCACCATCTTGAAATTAAATTCTTTCCTTTTTTTTTTTTTTTTTTTTTTGAGACTCTGTTGCCCAGGCTGGAGTGCAGTGGTGCAATCTCAGCTCACTGCAGCCTCTGCCTCCTGGGTTCAAGCGATTCTCCTGCCTCAACCTCCCAAGGAACTGGGAAGACAGCTGTGTGCCACCACGCTTATCTAATTTTTCATATTTTTAGTAGAGATGAGTTTCGCCATGTTGACCAGGCTGGTCTCAAACTCCTGGCTTCAAGTCATATGCCCACCTCTGCCTCCCAAAGTGCTGGGATTACAGGTGTGAGCCACTGCGCCTGGCCCATCCTGAGATTCTTAATGGTTTTTTGTACTCTTTCAAACATTATTTGTTAATATTTGTAAAATATACATAACATAACATTTGCTACTTTAACCATGCTTAAATGCTTAAATGCAGAGTTCGGTGGCGTTAAGCGCATTCCCGTCATCATGCACCTTCTCCATCATCCATGTCCAGAACTTTTTCATCTTCCCAAACTGAAATTCTGTCCCCATTACACACTCCCCATCCCCTCCTCCCCCATCCTCTGCCACCACCATTCTGCTTTCTATCTCTATTAGTTTGACTCCTCTAGGCACCTCGTATAAGTGGAAGTATACAGCATGTGTCCTTTCACGACTGGCTTATTTCACTTCAATTAATGTCCTCAAGGTTCATCCATGTTGTCGTATGTGTCAGAATTGCCTTCCTTGATAAGACTGCAGAATGCCTCAGTGTACATAAATACACCATACTTTGTTTATCCATTTATCCCCCGTGGGTCCCCAGGTTCCTTCCACCTTTTGTCTAGTGTTTAATAATGCTGGGAATGTGGATGTGCAGTTATTAATGTTTTTAAACAAGGGGCTGTTTTCTCTTCCTTGTGTGACTGCTTGTGAAAGATGTACTTGGTCATGACTTTAAGAACTGCTTCTAGCCGGGCGCGGTGGCTCAAGCCTGTAATCCCAGCACTTTGGGAGGCCAAGGCGGGTGGATCACGAGGTCAAGAGATCGAGACCATCCTGGTCAACATGGTGAAACCCCGTCTCTACTAAAAATACAAAAAATTAGCTGGGCATGGTGGCGCGTGCCTGTAATCCCAGCTACTCAGGAGGCTGAGGCAGGAGAATTGCCTGAACCCAGGAGGCGGAGGTTGCGGTGAGCCGAGATCGCGCCATTGCACTCCAGCCTGGGTAACAAGAGCG